CAGAGAGGTACTAACTAAAACCGCAGTGTGGCACATTTTTATACCCAGCTGATTATCAAAATGTTCAAGACCAATGATATCAAATACTGATGAGGGTGCTGAGTGAATGGAATTTTCATGCGCTGTTGGGCGAGAGTGTAAATTGTTACGCTCACTTTGCAGAGCAATTCAGCAGCATCTGGTCAGGTGGAAGATGCGCATTCTGCCATTTACTCATTTAGATCAGTGTGGGTTAATGGGGAGAATAATCCTATTCTATTGAATGAGTTATAACCTTGTTACTATCAATATTTTGATGCCCAAGTTGTCCCAGATTTTACCTGGGGCCATACCTTCAAGCTGACTTCTGTAGCTTTTAAAAATTCCTCCATCATTTTTTGAGCATTGACTTGAAGTCTGGTACAAGATGCTTATTTCAATCTTTCCCAGCCCCAGGCTGGAATCAGGCTTTTCTCCAGGGAATCTGGTTCTTTTACTGGGCAGTGGTATTTAGAATTCAAGCTCGAGGTGCTTGGTGTGCCCATTGCTGGGATTATTTTCTGAACCTACGGACAGTTCTGCCGTCACACAAAACAGGTGTTCTTAAGCATCATGGCCCTCTACCAAACTGTGGGATTAAAAACCACAGGGCTATGGGGGAGGGGGGAGTGCACTCAATAACCTCATTAGTGATTTATTAACAAAAATAGAAGCAATAAAAATTCATGATCCCCCATCCTCAATCCCTATTTATTTTTATTTTCTTTGTTTTATTTTATTTTATTTTATTTTATTTTATTTTATTTTATTTTATTTTATTTTATCCCTCCCAGCTTTATTAAGGTACAACTGATGAATAAATTGTAAGACATTTAAGTATACATCATGATGATCTGGTGATGCACCCACTGTGAACTGTCATCATTCTCATGCCCGTTATCTAGCGGGAGCTGGGTTTGCGACAAAGCTTTTTCCAAGTGTCTCTGTCAAGGCAGGGAGAGACAAGAGGCAGTAGCAGCAGGGGGAGGCAGACAGGCCTGGGGAGGTGCTTTCTTGTTCGAAGATGGGAGAAATGCCACCCTAACGGTTATGATGCCGATGAGAAGGATCCAGAAGATGCAGGAATTCCCCACTGTGTCTGCAGTGCCTAGGACAGGGAAACACTTAGTAGGTGCTCAACAAAGACCTGAGGAATGGAGGACTGAGAGGAAGAAGAGGCTTGAGGAAGGAGATTTGAGGGGGGGCCAGTTTGGAGAGCGCAGCTGGAGGCGCTGGCCTTTGATGGGAGGAGGTGGGTGGCGCTCCTCCTAGGTGGTAACGGAGACAAGAAAGAGATGGGGAGGGTGCAGAGTCAGGCAGGTTTATAGATTTGGTGGTAGAAAGTGCCCTCTCAGAGTGAAGGGGCTGGAGGAGGCATCCGACATCTGAAGAAAGGGGGCAAGCTGGGAAGCGGTCATTGCAGGGAGGAAGGCCAACAGAAGAGAGAAACAGGGTGATCGGGGGTCCAGCCGTGTTGCTGAAAGCCATTCACGGTGGTGGTGGTGGTGCTGACAGATCTCACCTCCTGCTCATCTCTCCTGTATTCTCCTGCTACACCACCATTCCCTCCTATTTCCCCTGCCCTGGCTCTTCCCTTCTTTTACTATAATGTGACAGAGATACAGCCAAAACAGAAGGGATGACAAAGTCACCTTTAAAAACGTGTAGCATTTAGATGCTAGAAGAGGGCATTTTCAGCTAAAAGCACAGCCACAAGGGAGGTTGGGGAGGATAAAAGTTCAAGGTGTTGCCATGTGGCCTGTATGTTTCCAGTGTGAAAGCAAAAAGGTCTGCATCACTGGCGTGACATAGCGCTGCCCTGCATTCGCCACTCTTGCTCTGTTGACACTGTTCCCTCCTGCGTGCTCCTTCCTGAGTCCTGCCCATTTCACTGCTTTTGTCTCCAGCTCCTTTCTGCTACTGGCTGGAGCCTGAACTGGTCTCGGGCTCAGCCACTCATTGCTCAAAAGGCAATGTTTGAGAGACAAGTGTTGGTAGAAAAAGAAAGATGCTTTATTCAGGAAGCTAGCAACCAGCGGAGATGCTAGACTAGTGTTCTCAAAACCATCTCCGAGTTGCCACTTAGAGGAAAAAGGGAAAATGGGGAGGCTTCAGGGGTGTGCAGGTGTGCTACATGCAGAACAGCACAGTCAGCTCGAGCGATCATCTTGAAACTGGTCATGCAGTGGTCTGGTCAGCGCCATCCTGATTGTTTTAAGTGCAGTTAATCTTTAACTCCAGGGACAGCCTATTCTCATTCGCTTGAGGCCAGTCCTTAGAATCGTGCAAGCCACAGACTCAGTACTGCTCAGGATGGACAGCTTATGTCATGGTTACAGTCTGGTCATCATGCAGTTAGCTTTTTCCCTCTGGTGGCGCCTTT